GGCTATAGTTCACATGTGGACGATCAACTGTCCACTAGAGTTTACAGCTGGTGAATAAGAAGAAGAAGAAGATTGAATGTACATGTGACAGAAGGTTGTGGACATACATGATTGCCAAAGCCTTATGGCCTGGACTGTAAGTAAAAGAAGTTTGTGCGGTCACAGTTAGAAAGGTTAGTTGCGTTGGTATTCTTTACAGGACGTTGCAGAACCAACCCCAACAGCCCCTTGCTGTTGTGTGGTTTTTCTAGGAAAATGTACGTCCAGTAGTTTGCCATTGCTTTCTGGACGGTTGGCTTTTTTAATACCACTCTCGAAACCAACGCAAGGCGCATGGCCTGCAGCTGGGATCAAACCCAGCATCCCAGCATTACAAAGCGTTCACATCGACTTAGCCACAGAGCCAACACAGTCACAGTAAACAAGCAAAAAAGCAGATCTATGTTTTGGACTAGTCCCTGCATTTGTAGGATACTGCAGTGGTGTGTTACTTTGGGCTTTATTCAGTTAATATGGTTATCTCCCATGGTTTTAAGCAGATCATTTAAAAACAAAATGTGTAACCCTTTTATTTTAAAGGTAACTTGTGTTTTCTTCACCCATTCTGGTGCTTTGATTAATATCCTACCACAAACAGGGGAAATCCACAGGTCACGAGACAGTCTTATATTTCAGGGGGTGGTAGATAGGCTGCATGCAGTCGTGGGACCTAGGCTGCATTCAGTTGTGGAATATATATGGGTTGGAGTTAGGGCAGGTTTTAGATGTTTTGGGGTCGTTAAAATCATCAGAAAGCTTTGAAACCGAGTCTTACCATCCTCTAAAATGTTGGACTGTCCTGTGACGTCATCTGGGGTAGGATATCATGAAAGAACCCGGGATCCTACAGAAACATGCTATGTGACCTTTTTACACCCACAAAAGGCAAGATATAGAAATTGTTTTCACAGGCCACCTGACAGCTAATCAAAAACAGAAAGAGAAACAAAATCATTAAAACAAACAAAAATTTGTGCTGCCTCCAGAGTGACATTTTGCTGTATTCTAACCACTGCTCAGTTGGAATTGTGAGGCTCCAGATCTCTTCATGGTGTGACTCTCATACCACTGTCTGAAAGCCACGTGTAAGTAAAGTAAAGGACCCATTTCCCGCTTTGGGAAAATGGGCATATAGGGCTAGACCTATATTTTATAGACCAAGTGCCACTCAGGGGGTGATGTGGTCATCATCACCCCAGCTGCCTTTACTTCCCAGGACATTACTGGTGCCAATTTAAGGTTGGGTCGACAAGGGAACCAATATCATTAAAAAAAAAAAAAAGCCCTTCTTTGTTAGTGCCTGAACCTAGACTATGAGAATGGTCTTTTAATCCATGGTATTTCTCACTTGTGACATAATTTGGTATTTTTCTCTTGTGAACATTCTTCTTTTTTTTTTTTTTTTTCTGTTACTGTCAATTAGCCGGGGCTTCACAGGTGAAGTGGAACAAGGTGACAAATAATCTGTTTGCTACCTCACATGATGGAGACGTCAGAATATGGGACCCAAGGGTGAGTACCAGGGTGACTTGATTGATGACCACATTTGTAACATTGTATATGTGTGAAGAAGAATTTAGAAGCCATTACGTTTTGGGAAAATGAAGAATCTTTGGAAGTCATGAAGGACTGATATTTCTGTCGGGGCTTTCTTCGTACATAAAAAACCCCCAAAACAACTACAGGTATTCTCCACAAAGTGTCTAAAAAAGTGTACTGTAACTGCACAAGGCAGAGGTGATCTCTCATCTATGGGACGAGGTAACAAGTTAAATGGTAGTTACCGAAAAAAACCGTACCTGGAGAGAGGGATGAGGCGGAGGGTGTCTGTGGGTCTTGGCGTCACTCAAGGCTTAGAGGAAAGGCAAGAGGAGTAGTTAACCAGATGACAGTGGGTATCATCAGGACAAAGACTCTTCGCTGGCTGTTGAAAATGGAGAGGAACTAATGTAGGTTTGTCCTGAATGCTGTGATGTTGAATCTTTACCTAGATGTCTAAAAAGGTGCCGATACTCACCACACAGTCTGTTACAGTGTAGCATATGAAATGATGCATAAAATATGTGGCGGTACTGCGTACTGTTGTGTTGCTGATGTTATCTTTCCATCTTATTCTTGGTCTACCTCGTGCTCTGCCTCCTTACCCTCTTTTGGTGTATGCCTTGTATAGTTGAGTCAAATTGAGTCACGAATTGACATCACAGGACTCAGGGCATTCCCATGCATGCTCTGTCATCTTCAGCAGCCAGCGCAGAATTCCTATACTGAGGGTACTGGTCACAATCTGGTTATATGTCCGTCTTGCTTTTCCTCTGAGTGTAGTGAGCCGACCAGACCCTCTGGTTACATCCAGGTGCCTCTACCTTGTATAGTGTGGCATCACAAGGCATTCTCTGCAAGTGGGTAAACTTTTTGATTTGCTGTCTTTGAATGTAATTTAGAATTTTTTCTATGCCAACTTTTTCTTCCTTTGACTTCCTTCCTAATTTTACCTCTTCTGGTCAATCCTGCAGCCCTTCTCAGTCGTCTTATGGTTACTAATTTAGTGATTCTAAATACTTTTTAATTTGTTTTGCACGGGAGTCTCTTCCCCATTATTGTTTATTCATAATTTTTATTGTGTTCATAATGTTTTGGCCAAACTTTTTTTTTAACAGAAAGGAAATTCACCAATTCAGTATATATCAGCACATCCTTCCAAAATTCATGGACTGGATTGGAGTGAAACAAATCAACACAACCTAGTCACAGCTAGTCAAGACTGCACAATCCGAGTGAGTGTTCTATTTACTTATTGGTACTTATTGAATTTTCTCTTTTTACTTTTTACATCATTGGTGAAGTGGTCAAACTGTTTGCCTCATGCTTTGAATGTTGTGTGGTCAATTCACGGATGTGTCGTTTGTAAATTATCTGTTATCAGACATTGTTGTATTAAATTTTGTGTCATTTAAAATATCTTTATGAGACATAGTTTTAAATTATCTTTTGTTTACAAGCACTTTCATATATAGCTGTGTTACATTTTATATTGTTTAAAAATGCCTTTCTCAGACATTTTTTTAAAAACATTTGATTTAAAATACATTTATTAGACCTTCTGTTATATTTTTTTGTATTTCAGTTTTGGGATTATAACAACCCAAGACGAAGTGAAGCTATGATCAATTCTGGGAATCCAGTGTGGAGGGCCAGATATACAGTAAGTTGGAAACACATTATTATTACATGTTAGCGAATAATTTACATCATCATCATCATTGTGGGCGGCATCCGTGGCTTAGGCGTTGCGAGTCCGACTCGTAATTCCAATGTACAGCGATCGAAACCCACTGCAGGCTGCGTGGGTTTTTTATCATGATACAGGGCGTCGCAGGTCGACCCAGCCAAAAATGGGTACCAGGATCGCTGTCCTGGGGAAGTAAAGACGACCGGCGTAATTCTGACCACACTACCCAACTAGTGCCGATTGGTCTGTAAAAATATGGTGCTCTTCCCATATGCCCGATGCGCCTAAGGCGTAAAAAGGGATTTTTACTTTACTTACTTATCATCATTGTATATTTAGTACTGCCATTTAAACTTGACAAACAGCTCCCATTCTATTCTTACATCATGTTTTCTCCTTCTTTTTAGCAGTAAATTCCAACCACAAGTTTTGGTAGTTAGTCCACATCTGGGCTTTGGTCTTGTTCCTGAAATTGAGTTTGCTAGCACACATCTGTTTTACATTTTGGCTTTTTTTTAAAAGGGGGGGGGGGAGGTATTTCTTCAAAGTAAGCACCCCTTTTATGACTTGCTTGTTGGGGTGGGGGAGTGGCTATATTAACCCCCCCCCCCCCCCCCCCCCCCACAATCCACCTTCCCCCACTCCAAGAGCCCACATTGGGAAGTCTGTTCTATTCTATGCAGTTTTTTTTGATAACATGGATGTAATCCAGTTTGGCGCATTGTCTTTTCTTATTAATGTTTGTCTTTGAGGTTTTCTTGGATGTTCTCATCACATGTCCATTTTTGTTTCTGAACCTACAGCCAGACAACAATGATCTACTTCTTACTGTGTGAAAGTTAATATAGGCATTTTGTGAAAGTTAACAGTTTATTTTATGAAAGTTAACATAGTTATATTTAATTACATGTAGTCCTAGACCCATGTTTTTTGTAGACCAGTCGACACTCTGTGTATGGTATGGTTAAGATTACGGTGAACATCTTCACTTCCTGGTACATTTTCTGGTATCTCATTTTAGATTAGGGTGCTCTTGGAGCCCAGAAGGAAATTATTTTTATGAAATCTGCTTTGATAAGGATTTTGACCTCTAGACCTTTGGACCAATAAGCAAGAGTCTAACCACTATTCTTCCCCATGGGGTTTCCGGGGTCCTATTTTGGTTAAAGGGAGGAAGAATAGACAAACTGGGCCCCCCCTCCCCAATAAACATGTTGTAAAAGGCAGCTAATTAATGGTTTTTCCCTTTAAAACTGGAATGCATCTGCCGAAGAGGTGAGAAACCAACAGTCTGCATACAGATAAGCCATATCTGTAAAACGGATGCAATTGCTAAACTCAGGACATGGAACAGTGCCAGAGCTGATGAACAACCAGGACTGTCAACCAGAGTTTACAGCTCGTGAATACAAACAAACAAACAAACAAACACTGTACTGCCGGCCCTGCCTTCTTTAGCAGATTATCATGATATTATGCCAATTCTTTCTTTTTCTTCTTCTTTGTGTTTGGTTTCATATGCTCAGATCAGACCATCAGATGGATTGCCTCTATGAACTCGTATGTCAGCAGCAGGTCCTTTATAGTTCCCCATAGCTTGCTCTGATAACTTTGCTCTTGAGGCCAGGTGTCTTTTTGAAGTTGAAGGTAGAGTGAACAGGTCTGCAGAATGTGCTCAGGTGTTTGTGATCCTATTTAACAGGTACACTATTGATCTGTCTTTTCGTTTCAGCCTTTTGGTGAAGGCATTGTTAGTGTGGCTGTTCCGCAGCTGAGACGAGGAGAAAACAGTTTGTACCTCTGGAATATTAAAGATCAACAGTCTCCTGTTCATACTTTGTTGGGCACAAGGATGTTATTTTGGAGTTCCAGTGGAGGAAACAGCAAGATGGTATGTTCATTTTGGAGAATATAATTGTTCTGATAATATCCATTTTAAATAATGCGGACACAACAATAAATTTTACAAGTTATTATGTGGCATATTTCGATGTATCTCGTTAGGTACGTTATTGCAGAGCTAAATCGACATATAATGAAGCACAAAATGAATCCTTGCAGAAATGCATAAACCACGTTGTCAAGTTGCTTTACATCTTTCTGCTGGAAATTCAAAGTCAGTCACGTGATTACCATGGTAACTTCAAATTGATCATATGATCATTGATCATATGATCTTTGTGTTTACATAACATAGGAGAGTATTTTACTGGTACAGCCTTGATCACTTTTAGCAAACGTCTGTTCAATGTGTGGTAATTAATCCTGAAAGCACAACAGGAAAACAATGTTTTCAACATTCGTTTTCCCAAATGTCTTGTTTGCCTTATATCAGAACAAGCAGCTTTATTTCCAGCAGGACACGAGTTTTGCATTCAGATCAGTCTAACTTTCTGCCCCTAGTACCATCTTAGGATTTGAATACAGCTGCGTAAATTATTCTGGTATAGGTTCATACATCCTTTTTTTTGTTGTTTTATGTGTGTCACTTAACAGTAAGTAAATTAAAATTCTTCTTCCTCTTTCTGCCTCCCTCCGTTGTCTCCCTCCTCCTCTTCCTCTCGAGTTCGCATTTCATGCATCCTCATGTTTGTTGTTTCATTTATATCATTCAACAGTTTATAAGGTATAGTCTTCTTCTTCTTCTCCTCATCTTCCATATTCTCCTCCTAATTTTTTTAAGTGCTTGATTGAATGCTTAGTCTGGAGCAGCATGCGGCCACACCCAGTAGACCTTACAGCTAAGCTTTGGGGAAACCGACTAGAGCTCAAGCTGACATCCCAGTTTATGGCCCATAGTGGATTTATCGCATGACCAAAGATCACTAAAGAAGTAGAATCCACAGCAAAAACATTTTGTTTTCTGACTAGTGTGGCTGTGGGATAGATGAGTCCTCTGAAAAATTGATTAAAAAAACGTTTTGGGCCCTTTTCCAGGTTCTTAAGCATATGGATATATGGTGCTAGACCTGTATTGTGTAGACTGGTTAGCACTCGGTGTGTGATGTGGAAAGCATTATGTCGGCCACCTTTACTTCCCAGAGCTTTTGCTGGTAGCCATTTTAGATTGGATTAACCAGGAAGCCAAGATTTTTTGTGTGAAAAGAAACACTCAGTGCGGATTTGAATCCATGAATTTTAGGCAAAAAGTTATATCATCTTTTAAAAAAAAGGTACCAAACAATGTGATTGAAATTGCCCAATAGAAAAGAGGACAAGGAAGAGAACTGTCTACTTCACCTTGTATGTTGTGACCTAGAACACGTGACAACATAAACAGTAGTAACTGCTGGGTTAACTCTCCGATTGGGCAAAGAGAATAGATGCTCGAATAACAGGCATGTCACAGGAGATATTTAGGGAGCATATATGCCTGATTTAAACTGTGAAAAGAGTGTTTGCGTAAGTTCTGTCTGGCTATCTAAGACTCTGGTTTTCTCTGTCTGTCTGTCTGTCTCTCTCCCTCTATTTATATATATATATAGCCCGTGTGGGATCCGGGGCCCCATTGTAGGGGAAAACAAGAATAGGCCCACTGCCTCCCCAAAAGCATGTCGTAAGAGTCGACAAATTGGGGAGCTTCCTTTGAAGTCGGAGTGCATCTGCCGGAGAGGCAAGGAACCAACAGTCTATTCCAGAGAATGAGATCTGTAAAACTGATGCACACGCAACACTCAGGTTCTGGAGCAGGACTGCAGTTCAGTAGTAAACGAGCAACCAGAACTTTCTGCCAGAATGTACAGCTGGTGAACGCGAAGAAGAAGATATATATATATATACATATCGCAGCTGACCAGCTTATATATATATATATCCCTCCTCTCTCTCTCACACACTTTTTGGATCACTCCGCGCCTTGCTTTTTCTCTTTGGGAAGAATTTCTTCTTCTTTTGTTCGCCTGAAATAAGTTGTTTATATCAGCAATTTTATCTCTTGTATACATTTCACTGTTGTTGTTAATTCATTCAGTGGTCCATAAAGTTTACGTTCCACTGTTGTTCTTTCTGGCCAAAAGGTTTGCCTTAATGTGTCAAATTTGGTGCAGTCCTGGAGTACATGCTCTGCTGTCTGGGACACTTTTCCACAGGTGCACATGGCTGATACGCCTATCTTGAATTTTGTGTACATGTGGTTGGGAAGAATATAAGATGTGCCTTCCCTGTCTCTGTCTGTCTGTCTGTCTGTCTGTCTCTCTTTCTTAGAGGGTGTGTTCTTCAAAGTCAGAGTATATCTGCCTGAGAGGCGAGGAGCTAACAGTCCATACAAATAAGCCTAATGTTTAAAACAGATATCCAAGCAAAACTTAAAGTTCTGCAGTAAGATCACTGTCCAGAAGTGGATAAACCATCAAAATTTCCCCCCAGAATTTGCAGCCAATGAACACTAAGCAGAAGGGAAAAAGAAGCCTTGGTAACTATAGTAATTTCGACTAAAGTGGCATAGTTCTACTGTCTGTTGAGGTCTAGACCCGTGTAAGACTTTAGCTTACATCCCCTGCTTTTTTTTAGCACATTTGTATTATTAGTATTATTATTACTTAATGGGCACATTTGATATGGACATGTAATAAGATCTAACGGCCTCTCAAAAACAATACTGCAGGGCTCAGTAGAGGAGAACAGGCAGACCAAGAAAGACCTGGTTACAAATCCTGACTGACTGGACAGGCCTCAGGCATGCAACCATGAAGTCCATCGCAGCTGACCGCCAAAGGTGAAGAGAGCTGATCAGACAGTCAACAGAAACTGGTGACCCAACGACATGTGGTGTTACGGGATGATGATGATGAATGGACACATAAACGATAATAAGCTACTTGGACCCCTACCCAATACAATTCTAAACAAACTAAAGTGACAATTGTGCGGTCTGTTGAGGTCCTGACCTGCGTAAGACTTTAGCCTTACATCTGGCTGCTGTAGCTGTTTAGGGACCCTTATTATGACTTTTTAGCTGTTGAATGAGGTATCTGTTATCTGCCTTGATCTGTGATTTGCCTTGATCTGGGATATGCCTTGATCTGTGATTTGCCTTGATCTGGGATATGCCTTGATCTGGGATTTGCCTTGATCTGGGATTTGCCTTGATCTGGGATTTGCCTTGATCTGGGATTTGCCTTGATCTGTGATTTGCCTTGATCTGTGATTTGCCTTGATCTGGGATTTGCCTTGATCTGGGATTTTCCTTGGTCTGCTATCCAGACTGAAATGTTTTCCTAAAATCTCAGGGTAGTAAATTTTCTAGTAGTAGCCTGGAGTGGACAAACTGATCGGTCTACTCCATTGATAATTTTTAATTGTCTAGTAAAGCTACTGGCAGCTGGCCAGTGATGGGATTGATTTTTATGAAATTAGGAGGAACGGGTTTGTTGTTGTTGTTGTTGTTGTTGAACCACATAGATTCTGAGCTCTGATTTTATATAATTTTGTAGGGGTCCGGGATCATCATCTAGTTACTTGGTCAAAGGATCAGAGCCTAAGGATTTGGAAGGTTGACCGTGCTTTACAAAAGGTAAGAACCATGTGGTCCTAAATGTCATATGATTGAAGTCCTTCTGTACTGCACGGGTATCTGTTATGCCTGTAGTGCAGGGCTATTCAACTAAGTTTGCTCAGGGGCCATACTTCTGAAAATGGGGATCTTCAGGGGCCAGAGATCTGAGCCCCAACAAAGACAGATCATTAATACAACCCACCTGGCAGTGATCCTCGTGCCACTTGCTAGCCCTCCAAGAGCCAGACCAGATTTGACCCGTGGGCTGCCAGCTGAATAGACCTGCTATAGCATATTAGCAATTCTTTTAGTCATTCTGCATCGTTCTGTTGTTCTACAGCAACAGCCTTTTTATGTTTGAATTAAAATATTTGGAGTGTGATGCTGTATTTAATTTCTTTGGACAGTTGCCTGGCACCATGAAATCTCCACCTGCATTTTGTGTGTTTAGTCTCTTTCACCATCTGTGTTTAATTCCACATCATTGTCTAAATTGTTCTTTTATTTATGTCGCTTTTAACCCATTCGAATTGTTAGAGTGAAAACCTGTTGATGCATTTTATACATGGGTCATGTTTACAATTTCCATTGCTGTGTTTCCATTTTCACCGTATTTTTTTCTGACCTTTCACAGTTTAGTAACTGCATGAATTGTGTTGCTTAATAGTATTTTGTGGTTTAAAGCCAGTTTTACCACCAAACTTTTCCACACAGTTATGATTTTTTAGGGGAGCTGATGTCATGTAATGGCTAGATGCTTGCCTTGGACCCGAAGGTCATGAGTTCAAATCCTCATTGAGTCTAATTTAATTTTTGTTTAAAGTGACCGTGACTCCCAAGTCAGCCCAGCCTAAAATGGGTACCAGGTAAAGTTCTGGGAAGCAAAGGTGGGCAGTGTTGACCACATTACCAACCAAGTGCTGATTGCTATAAACTGTATATGCCAATTCAGCACTGGTTGGTCTAAAACTTTAGGGCGCTGGTTCGTACACCTATTACACATTATGATATGTTTTTCTGTATACGCCCTGATACGTTTAAGTGCTTGAGTACCCTGAAAACATAAGATGGAAGATGAATTAAAGAAGTTGATTGTAGAATAACTGAAACAGAGGCAGCATTTTACAAAATGAAAAATATTCCATGCAGTCTTTCTTTTTCAGTTGAGAGGAGTAGGGGATTTCTTAAAAGCTATATCAATCCTGTCCTGATATTCAGAAGTGAATCATTAGCAGTTGGTAGTCTAATGAAAAATTAAATAAAAGCTGCGCAGATGTGGTATATAGACAGATGATGAGAATACCCTTCCGAAAACATACTTCCTAGATATTTAAATTTTTTTACTTGCTTTGGACAAGTACTGTTCAACCTGATATTTAGCGGATTAAGAATTCTGCTGACCTTCATTACTTCAGTTTTAGTAGATTTATTTTCATGTTGTATCTTCTGCATGTTGAACTTAGCTTGTTCAAATGGTCTGTAAATACAGTATGTCCTAAATACTTTAAAGGACAAATTATGAAGCCTGGTTGCTGCCTTATACATTTATTTAGTACATGTTCTGGCTGTTGGATTTGTCTCTGATATTTCACATGGGACTGTGATGGACATTTTGTTTCCCACTAGCACAGAAATGGAGCAATAATGGGGTAATCCCTTGGCAGTGAAGTTGGAACTCCAGCTGATACCATAGTAAAAGTAAAAAAGTGAAGGTCCCTTTTCATGTTTCTAGGTTCATCGGGCATATGGGAAGAGCACCCATATTTTTATTAGACCAGTCGGCACTAGGTGGGTAATGTGGTCAGCATTACGGCGGCTGTCTTTACCTCCCCAGGACAGCCATCCTGGTACCCATTTTAGGCTGGGTCGACCTCCGACGCCCTATACCACGATAAAAATCCACGCAGCCAGCACTGGGTTTCGATCGCAGTAGGATGGAATTACCAGTTGGCAGACCAACAGGGTAAATTCCACATACCTCGTTCTAACTCAGAAGTAGTTATAATTATGGCTACATGGCCGTCCTGTGCGCATAAGGAAGTCAAGTCGTGTGTTGAGGTCACAGAAAGCAAATAAGGTTGTTATCTCCCAGCCAGTGTAACAAGAGTTGTGATACTTTACTGTAAAGAAATTATAAGTACCATTAAAAAAGGATCAGCACCATCAGGGATACCACAGTCACAGCCCTAATCAGGAAGTCGAGCCAGCAAATAGCATGACCATCTGAAATAAGGGATCCAGACATGTACAGGTGGACAACACAGAATGCAGATAGGAACACATAGCCCTTTACAAAAGCACCACACACAAAAACACCCCCATAAATTTGGCACAGATTTGAAAAAAAAAAAATCTTTTCCAGTACACTTGGCATATGGCACAAATGAACCAAACCTCAATTATAACCTAAGCTGCTTGCAGCAGGTTGATTGTTGATTATGGTCGCCTTTTTTTTGCGAGTGGGGGGAGGGGGGTTTCTACCCTCACTCCCCCATTCATCTAAGTCTGCTAAGGGATTGTAAAAGCACTTTGATAAAATCCTACTTACTAGGTTAGGTTCAGTTGCAGGCAGTTTGACAGCAGACCACTTGGCATTCATTTAGTCAGAAATATATAAGCCTGACTGTTCAGTAATAAAAGGCAAAGTGCTGAATGTATAATTGTCTAGTAAAGCTACTGGCAGCTGGCCAGTGATGGGATTGATTTACAGCATGCTGTAAGGCAGGGTTTTTCAACTGGCGACCCGCAGGTCACATGTGGCCTGCAGCGGATCATCTCTTCTTCTTCTTCTTCAGCATTCCGAGCCCTTGAGGGTCATTACTACAGATATCATCCTCCTCCATTTATCTCTCTGATTGGCCTTCTCTTTCCATTTGGTGACACTAAGTGTTTGTAGGTCTGTGGACATCCATTTTCTTCTTGGTCTGCCTCGTGGTCTACAACCATTTATCTTCCTGTGTATACAGATTTTACTTCTCTGTCGTCTGACATTTTTTTCAATATGCCCCAACAATTTCAATCAATTAGCTCTCATAATGCCAGTGATCAATAGTGATTTAAACAGATTATGAATTTCGCTATTGCTTCTCACTCTCCATTCCCAGCTGTTTCCATCTTTGATGGGTCCAAAGATCTGTCATAAGACTCTGTTTTCGAAAACCTGTAATAAGGCTTCATCCCTTTTAGTTGTGCTCCAAGTTTCAGAGCTATATAAAACGACTGGTCTTATCAACATTTTATAAATTTTTATATCGTCACCAAACATTTCTAAGCCTCGATTTCGGATAGAGCTAAACGGAAAAGCGGATCACATGCCAGTTGTATTATATTAATGATCCTTCTCTGCTGGAACATGGGCTTCTGGCCTCTGACGGTCCCCCACCTTCCAACAATCTGGCCCCTGAGTTGACTTAATTGAATAGCCCTGCCGTAAAAGATATGCAACTAACTTTTTTTTTTTAATGAAGCTATTAAACAAAGCAAAACTACGGATCACACTTAATAGTTCTGTTTTTTTTATTTTTTTTATTTAAACAAAAAGTTTAAATTACCAGAGGATTTAACTGCAATAAAAGTAATTTTTGTTTCGGTGTCATGTTATATTAGCGAATGTTACTAAGCTTGGTTAATGTACAGCCATTATATTGTACCAGGATTGATTTATATGTTGCCATCGAAACTGTTTATCTGGTTGTTTGTTAGGGAAACTTCAGTTGATGTGAAATACAAGCTTTTCAACAGCTGCAGAATGGGGCTGAGATCAGTAGATGTGGGGGGGGGGGGGGGCTGAGATAAGTAAATGTGGTGGGCTGACATCAGTAGATGTAGGGGGCTGAGATCAGTAGATGTGGTGTGCTGAGATCAGTAGATGTGGGGGGCTGAGATTAGTAGATGTGGTGTGCTGAGATCAGTAGATGTGGTGTGCTGAGATCAGTAGATGTGGGGGGCTGAGATTAGTAGATGTGGTGTGCTGAGATCAGTAGATGTGGTGTGCTGAGATCAGTAGATGTGGGCGGCTGAGATCAGTAGATGTGGTGGGCTGAGATCAGTAGATGTGGTGGGCTGAGATCAGTAGATGTGGTGTGCTGAGATCAGTAGATGTGGTGGGCTGAGATCAGTAGATGTGGGGGGCTGAGATCAGTAGATGTGGTGGGCTGAGATCAGTAGATGTAATGGGCTGAGATTAGTAGATGTGGTGTGCTGAGATCAGTAGATGTGGTGTGCTGAGATCAGTAGATGTAGGGGGCTGAGATCAGTAGATGTGGTGGGCTGAGATCAGTAGATGTGGTGGGCTGAGATCAGTAGATGTGGGGGGCTGAGATCAGTAGATGTGGTGTGCTGAGATTAGTAGATGTGGGGGGCTGAGATCAGTAGATTTGGGGGGCTGAGATCAGTAGATTTGGTGTGCTGAGATTAGTAGATTTGGTGTGCTGAGATCAATAGATGTGGTGGGCTGAGATCAATAGATGTGGTGGGCTGAGATCAGTAGATGTGGGGTGCTGAGATCAGTAGATGTGGGGGGTGGGCTGAGATCAGTAGATGTGGTGTGCTGAGATCAGTAGATGTGGTGTGCTGAGATCAGTAGATGTGGGGGACTGAGATCAGTAGATGTGGTGGGCTGAGATCTGTAGATGTGGTGTGCTGAGATTAGTAGATGTGGGGGGGGGGGGGCTGAGATCAGTAGATGTGGTGTGCTGAGATCAGTAGATGTGGTGGGCTGAGATTAGTAGATGTGGTAGGCTGAGATTAGTAGATGTGGTGTGCTGAGATCAGTAGATGTGGTGGGCTGAAATCAGTAGATGTGGTGTGCTGAAATCAGTAGATGTGGTGTGCTGAGATTAGTAGATGTGGTGTGCTGAGATTAGTAGATGTGGTGTGCTGAGATCAGTAGATGTGGTGTGCTGAGATCAGTAGATGTCGCGGGCTGAAATCAGTAGATGTGGTGTGCTGAGATCAGTAGATATGGGAGGGGGGGGGGGGGGGGGGCTGAGATCAGTAGATGTGGTGTGCTGAGATCA